GCAAACGCTGCACTAAACTACAAGCGGGCTGGTTGAGATAGTGGGTTGTGTTCACAGGATGGTTCAGTCTGCACTTACACAACTACAGCACCGTAGAAAGTTTTGGAATTGCATTAATAAATTCTGTGTTACTCCATCTATCAGTTCTCTGCCACCTACCTATACACAGGTTGCTTCACAGATATTATTAAAGAATATTATAATGCTGAGAAGTAAAGGAAAATATCTCATCCTGGGCACGATTGTCGCTGCCGGCTTAAAAAGCCTTAAGAAACTGTGAGACCTGCAGAAACCCTGCTGACAGCAGCGGAGGAACTCATGAATTTCATTAAGTGACCTTGAGATCTTGCAGAATTCAAAATATGTTGTTCCCCAAGTAGGTACATAGACTCAGTGTGTCGTTCTGTTACATAGATGCCGGAGAGAAGGGAGGGCAGGTAGCTGGAGGCCAGAAGCAGCGCATTTCCATTGCCAGAGCTTTAATCAGACGTCCTACAGTTCTGATACTGGATAACGCCACCAGTGACTTGGACTCAGAGAATGAATACCAGGTAGGAAATTCTTGTGTCTCACACATTTTTTTTTGCTCTTGATTTGTCTCTTTTTCTCTTCGTGTAACAGCAAGTCATGGTTGTACTCAACAGGTCCACCAAGCTTTGTTGAACCAAACCAACCACTGCACCGTGCTGCTGATTTCCAACAAGATGAGTGTTATAGAGAAGGCCGATCATATCATTTTCCTCAGTGAGGGGGTGGTAAAGGAGGAGGGCAGCCATGATGAGCTGCTGGAGAAAGACGGCCTTTATGCTGATATGGTGAAGAGGCACAATATGGGTTTTCAGCGTTAAGAAGAGGAGAGGAGCGATGCACAGTCACGATAGCGTTGGGTCCACATGCAGCCAGAGAAGTCAAGTTACAGAGGAATTGCTGGACTTGAAGGTGTCGAAACTCCAGTCACACTTTAACTTTATTGTTAAACTACGCTTATTGCATTGATAGAGATTAGTGCCTCCGTGCAGTAGAGGTAGAACCAGAAATTATTTCTTCAGGATTATACACTCTGACAAATCATTCAATCATGAGCCACAGAGTGATTTGGCCCAGTGTCGGTGTGAACGCTACAAAACTCCCATCTTCTCCAGCGAGAAAGGATCTACCTGGACGGTGTTATATACGTATAATATTATATTATAGTACCAAAGGTGCTTGACACAAGGAGCTGAGGATTTGTCTGCTTTATGGATGATAGTTTAGGATCGTAATGCACTAGAGATGTTTGTGATGTTTTATTTTATAATATTTAGAAGTGTGTTCTTAAATGTTGTGGCTGTATATTTTTTTTTTTATATTTGTCAAATGTTTTATCCAACTTTTCCCTGTATTAATCGTTTGAGTCTTGTAAGTAAATTAAAATTAGCGCTTTGTTTGCCTCTCTTGAGTTGTGACAATAAATAGTTTCATCCTGTTGAGTTTCAGTTTTTATCATGCTTTAGATACACAAAACTCATGGTTCATGTAATCAGATGAAAATCAAATATTTTTATAGAATACATCAAATGTGCAAGTTAACACAGGGTCAATGGTACAATGAAAGGTGTTGGACTAGGAAACAGGTCAGCTCAGCAGTGCAATAATTCAATTAAAATAAAAGTAAGATAGGAAGAGCTACTTTAAAAATAAAAATAAGTCAAATACAAGATTTCAAGACTTTATTTGTAACGCGCACAACAATTACAAAACCACAGAAGCCAGAAAAAACAAATATATAATAAAACGAAAGTTGTAAAATATAAATTATAAATATATTTCTGAGTAGAATGAATTATTGAGAATAGAAGTATTACTGATTAGAGGTAGTGCAAATATTACAATGCAATACAACTATATACATTTAATTTAAATATTTGGGTGATTATTTGGTGCTTTTAGACTAAATTTTGTTCACCCAACAGTTGATGGATAGTTAATGAAAACAACTGCAGTTCTGCAATGACACCACAGCCTTGCATGCAACATGTCTGTGTTAATCATTGGATAAATTCTGCAGCTTGTTTCCAGACCTCAAATCATCACTAAATAAAACCCAGATGGAAATAGTTGCACATCTTAAACACATCAGTGAATCCGTGCTGTGAGGCAGAAAACACGAATACACCACAGCCGGGTTATGGGGACACTCGCCCGTGAAGACAAACCCGCGTTTAAGAAGCTCAACGTGTTTGAATCCACGCGGTGAAGCCGCGGACTGTGTCTGAAGAGGACGAAGCGCAGTGCGACGCGGCCTCCATTGTTTTCACCGAACAGCTGATCGAGAACAACGTGTACCGAGGGACGGGGAGGGGGGCGTGTGCTGCGCTTTGACAGACGTCTCCTCTCGGCCAATCGTGGGGCAGGGTCTGCCCGAGCGCGACAGGAAACACGTCACAGCAACGCGCGGGGGGGTTTATATAGCGTCACACGGAAGCGAACGGGCGCCATTTCGCTGCGGAGGATCTCGGTGGGTGGATTTTTTCCTCTCGGGCTGAAGTGTCAACGGGCGCTGGAAGAATTGGAACCGCGATAAACGCTCCGCCTTCAGCCGGATGGAAGCGGCCGTCAACCCGCCTCACGACAGGTAAGAGCCGCGGGGTTTTTTTTCTTCCAGCGGAGGTGGAATCGGCTCCGCAGCGGCCGTGGAGGCGGAGGAGCGTTAAATGTCATCCTGCCTGTTAGCCTCCCCACAGCGGCGCTAGCTTGTCTGAACACCGCTGTTAGCTAGCTTCCATCGCAGCCTCGCTAATCCCGACTGTCGCTGGGATCGTTTGTTTATCGACATGTTGAATCTTTTAGCTTCGCCTGGGAGCAGAGGCTGTGGGTGACAGCTGCTCCCACCGGCTCCCTGTCATTCATTGCCCTGCTAATCCCGCTGTTCGTGCGGCTAACGCTAACTGCTGCTTAGTGTCCAGTCCGGTTACACACTTCATTTACTTCCATTTAAAAAAAATAAATAAAAATCGGTTCCAGTCAAATAAACATATTTTTGTTTTGATTGAAACCCAGCGACGCCAGCTAGCTCTCGGCTAGCAGCGGCTACGCGCTGAGTCCCAAACGACCCGGATCGACGGTTCATGTTTTGATCGGTTTCCGCTGCAGCGCCGTTAAACCTCCGCTTTGTTTTTGTTTTAATCTTTTTGTTTTAAAAATCAAATAAAAGGTCTCCGTCATCCTCTGCTGTCATTGTGAGGCAGTGTTTACAAACAGGGAGGGCGGGGCGTGCAAACCACGCGATCCTCTGCTGTTGACCCGCGTGTTTTGATTCTTCCTCCATCGCTTCCTGTTTAATGAAACACGTTGTTTTTAATCTCGAAGAGGAAGAAGAAGCTGATTCATGTTTCCTCATGATCGTTATTTATTTGACGTTATATCTTAGTGAAAAGTTAATGATCTGTGGAGGGCAACAGCAGCAGGTGTGTACAGCAATACTTGCATTTTTTTAGTAATTCCATAGACAAAGGAAAACCTTATGAGTTATAGTTTGCACACAACATATCCCACATCAGGTCTTTTCAATCTAAATGTACGAGGCAATCGTTTGCAATTTGGAATACTTAAATACAATCATGAAATGATTATCCTGTTAAACCAACTGTTGACGCCTGCTGTCTAGCGGCCTGTGTTAAATCAAATCGAGTTTATTTGTGAAGCTCAACCAGGGTTGACCAAAGTGTTGTGCAGTAAGAAATCAAAATAGAATCAGAGACTGTTGTGAGATGGTTTTTGTCCCATCATGATCGATGAATCACACTTTAAAACAGCTAGGCTCATGCCTCCAAAACAGATCATACTTATGAGGTCCTTACCTTGATTTTGGAATCATCACACTGCTTATTAATGTGCTTATATAGTGATTGAGATCTCGGCCCTTTTCCGGCAAAAACAATTACCCATTTTATTTATAATACAAGGTCTAATTCCTTCTTTTACCATATTACCTGATAAATAACAAAAAGCTACAATATGTGGTGCTCAAATCCGACTGGAATTATATGGTATTGTATTTACTACACAGCAGCTAATGCTTTTCCTGTAACACAAACACGTCTGAGCCTCTCTTTGTGTTGCTCGGATTCTGACTGATGGAGAAAAGCAGCTCACAGGCTTTGCCATGGTTTGTGTGTCAGTGGGGCAGGGGTGTGTGTGTGTGTGTGTGTCCTGATCGGTGGGGTAAAATCAGAGGGGCTTCCTTTGACCGTGTGGACTGAGAGACCTCTGTTAAGCTGAGTAGTAAATGCTCTTATGTCATCTCATTGTAAAACAGGCCACACTGAAGATGGTGTGACTTTTCTTTTCAGAGCATTTTAAGATCTGCATCATCTTCGTTTTTTAAAAATTTGCTTAACTCTATATTCCTAATGCTGAGAGTGTCCTTTTGTATTTCATTCATTGTTCAGATGTGGCCTATGCATTGCTCAGGATCAACTGTGAGACCACATTGTTTCATTCAAGTCACCATTTTTTTGAATGGGAAGACATGAGATCACACAAGTTATACATAGAAACCTGCTGTTACAATTCTTTTGGCCATTTTCTTATATTTGAAGCATTTTTGAACATGATTTATATTTTGTGACATTGTTGGGTTTATGCATTTGAAACTTTTCTCTTCAGTAAGTAATAAATTTACAACAAATCCCACAAAATATTATCAGTTACATTAGTTTCTGTGAAAAGTGGCTGCACAATTCACAGGAGTGACAAAGCATTAAGTTCACGTGAGATGGGGCCTATTATTGTCATTTTATTATATTCGTGATCACTGCATTGAGCAACTAAAGAGCTATCATCACAGTTTCTTTAAACCCTGTTGCTCAGTTCAATAATTTGTGCATTGATTAATCCTTGCAGCTTTAGAGTGTGACATACTCATGATGTATTTATTAGTGACAGTTTTAAAAGAAAAGCTTTTTCCAATACTCACATGAGCAAAATTGGATAACATATTGCTCAGCTTTCGGTGGTCTTATCACCCAGCCTTATTATAAATGACTGTTTGTTTTGTTAACTGGTGAGAACCCATGCGATGATGGTTCCCATGACTGCTTTAAAAGTAGCAGCCTGTTGATTATTGTCTAGTTTCCCTAGATAACGTTTAGCTGACAGGGAGACAGCCATAGTTTCACTGGTCATATAGGTTACATAAATAAAGCATGTATAGAATTATATGTGAGTTGAATCTATTGAATGGTGGAAAAGTTAATGCAGCACAGTCAACGTTAAAACAGCAGGTATCTTTTTCTGTGGGTTTTTATAAGGTAGTCTGTTCCAGCAGTTTGAGTTCAGACCTTTTTATTTGCAGCAGTTGAATCACTTTTCCATCCTCTGGTCTTTCTGTCTCCCTAAACTTTAGCTCCCTGGTCGGGTTGTCCGGTGGCGGGATGGACCAACACAGCAGCTCGGGCAAACGTATTCGCAAGCCCTCCCTACTGTACGAGGACTTTGAGAGCCCCTCTTTGCCGCACACCATGCCCCAGGGCCCCCCAGCCCCACTGCAGCCCCCGGTCAAGGATCCCAGCCGACAAGGCCGGATGACCAACCAGCTGCAGTACCTCCAGAGGACCCTGATTAAGTGTCTGTGGAGGCACCACTTTGCCTGGCCTTTCCATGAGCCTGTGGATGCCTACAGGCTTAACCTACCAGTGAGTTCAGTGTTCATCAGAGACGTTCACTTTCTACTTCCACTTTCATTCGATACGTTTTTTTCCATGTCTGTGCAAAACAAATATCTTTAAATGGATGTTTCTCTGATAGATTGTTTTTGTGAACCCATACAAAAAAACGTAGCGTCTCATTCGGTGTTTTTCAGGATTACCATAAAATTATCAAACAGCCCATGGACATGGGGACCATAAAAAAGCGTCTGGAGAACAGTTTCTACCGCTGTGCAAGTGAGTGCATACAGGACTTCAACACAATGTTCACCAACTGCTACATCTACAACAAGGTAGGTTAAATGGGAGAAAACAGATCTCTGTTTGTGTTCTTTCTCTGTCAGCAGCTGATATTTTAAACACTGATAAAACAAGTCATTTGAGTTACAGTAATTCATTTGACATTAATTAATTAAGTTAAATTAAAATGCATCCTTTTTTTACCTTCAGGGCTTTTTTCTGTTTTACTAATGAGTTAATAAATCGTTTGGGTGTTTAGCCGACAGACGACATTGTGCTGATGGCCCAGTCCCTGGAGAAGATCTTTCTCCAGAAAGTGGCCCAGATGCCCCAGGAGGAAGTTGAGCTTCCACCTCCTGCTCCTCGAAACAAAAACAACAGGGGAAAAGGTCGCAAATCTAGTTGTGAGTTAATGACAAAGTCTTACAGAATTAAACCAAGAGTTATTTTAACCTCTAGAAATATTCAGTAGTTTTCTGTTCTCAGAGTTTCCTGTTATGAAATTATCTCCAATGATAATGCGCCTCCCCCAAACAAATTTTAAAGCTGACCTCATTTCTCAGCATCCAGGGCTCAGCAGGTGCCAGCAGTGTCACAGTCGGCCTACTCCCCTTCTTCCTCAGACACTGGGGAGTCCATGCTCGCTAACTCTCCCCAGACTGTGCTGACCAAAAGCCTGCCTCCTGCCAACATCATGGGCCTGCCTCCTACACAGCCCACAACCAAGGTACAACAAAACACATAGTGGTAAATTTGTGTTGGGGGAAAAACTTCAACTTCAAGTGGTTGCTTATTGGCGTATTCAGTGTTTGAGTTTCAAGAAAAGTTTAAAATGGAGTAATGAGTAAAATGATCGTAGTAACTTCCAACCTGTTTATTGTTTTCTGTAGAAGAAAGGTGTAAAAAGAAAGGCAGACACCACCACCCCCTCCAACATGGGCTTTACTGTGGGCATTTCGGGTGTGGGCATGTCTGGAGCGACCCACATGGTAGGTTTAGGGAAAGGAGGACACGGGGGCCAAGTACACGACACCTCCATGCACACTATCTCCATGGGGGGCATGAACTTAGACACTCCACCTGGGATGGGCCTGGTCAGGAGCCCTGGAGGTCCTGTCCTCCTCCAGCCGATGATGGCCAGCGGTGGACGCAGAGTCGGCAGCGGACGCCCCATCAAACCCCCCAAGAAGGACTTGCCCGATTCTGTCCAGCCTCAGGCGCTGAAGAAGAGCAAACTCAGTCCTCAGCTGAGGTACTGCAGTGGGCTGCTGAAAGACATGCTGTCAAAGAAACATGCAGCGTACGCCTGGCCTTTCTACACACCTGTGGACACTGCTGCTCTGGGACTTCATGACTATCATGACATCATCAAGTGCCCCATGGACCTCAGCACCATCAAGGTGAATTATCACGTACTTTTAATTCTTCATTAGCAATGAATGTTACGTTGCTTTGGGATGAAAACATCATGAGTGAATGACTTTTACTCTCTCTGTTCCTGATAACGTCAAACAGTGATGCTCGTTACGTTTCTTAATGGCTTTAAATGTAACATCGTGAAAGTCCAAAAAATAAAATGTGCCTGTGTGAAGCACTAAAATGATTCTCCCCGCCGTGTTATCAGAGGAAGATGGACTGTCGTGAATACAGGGACGCTCAGCAGTTCGCTAGCGATGTCAGACTCATGTTCTCCAACTGCTACAAGTACAACCCACCTGACCACGATGTTGTCGGCATGGCACGGAAGCTGCAGGTGAGCGTAGCTGTGTACTGTGACTTTCAAAACATTCAGAATGACTCTTTGTATTTTACTTTTCCTCACATTTCTTAACTCTGATTTTGACTTTTTCTTTTGCGCCCCAGGATGTTTTTGAGTTCCGTTTTGCCAAGATGCCAGACGAACCACACATGGATCTTACAAACATGTCGATGAGTGGCAACCCAACATCCTCTTCGTCCTCTTCTTCCTCCTCTTCCTCGTCATCTTCCTCTACCTCTGAGAGTGAGCCCAGCAGCGAGAGTGAAGAGAGCGAGAGCAGCCCCAGCTCAGACAGTGAAGAAGAGCGAGCACATCGCTTGGCTGAGTTACAGGATCAGGTGTGCACACAAGTAAGGCCTCTAGTTACTATTTATTTATTCAAGTGTTACAACACATTTCGCGCGGAAACAAAAAATATTTTTCACTGCGATCATTTTTTGGGTGTTATTTTAAAATCTTTTCTCAGCTCCGAGCCATGCACGAGCAGCTGGCTGCCCTCTCTCAAGGCCCCATTGTCAAGACCAAGAAGAAAAAAGAGAAGAAGGACAAAAAGGAGAAGAAGAAAAAGAAGAAGCTGGAGAAGAAAAGTAGAGGCACCAGGAGCAGAGCTGGCTCTGAGGAATGGAAGATGCCTGGCAAAATGCTGAAGAGCAAGTCTGCCAGAGCAGGTGGCTCGCAGACAAAGAAAAGCCAGGGGAAGAAGAGTAACAAGAACAGCAAGTCAGTTGTAAAACAATGACCCACCTTATCTCATCTTACACTGTTTTAGATATTAAGCAGCGGCTGATAATGTTTACCTTCGTCCTGATTCGATCTCTTCTCTCAATTGTTCAGGACCATAAAGAAGCCGTTCGAACCCCCGGTGGCCCCTTCCATGCTGCCGCACTACGACTCGGAGGAAGAGGATGAGATCGTGCCCATGTCGTACGATGAAAAGCGCCAGCTAAGCCTCGACATCAACAAGTTACCGGGGGAGAAGCTGGGTCGCGTGGTCCACATCATCCAGTCCAGGGAGCCTTCGCTGAGGGACACTAACCCAGAGGAGATTGAGATCGACTTTGAAACACTGAAACCATCGACGCTGAAAGAGCTGGAGCGTTACGTCATGACCTGTCTGAGGAAGAAGCCCCGCAAGCCTTACGGAGAACCAGGTAGATGAAACGCCCACCATGAAGCATACTGTCTTAAAAATGTCTCCTTTGTAACCTTGCACGTATCTGATGATAAACAGGGACAGCAGCAATCTAGCATGTGGTCGAAACTTTCTTCAGGTTATTTTTGGATGAGGCATGAAGCTGAGGTGCAGGCTCTGGCAACAAAAACACACCAAAACTTCAGTGCCCCTGATTTTCACTGTGATTGTTTTGCGGCATCATTGAGACACAGCAGAAAGAAAAAAGCTTCGGCTGTTGTCCCTCAGAGGTCGAGGAAGGCAGGCCAAGAATGAGGCAGCATGATCAAGGCAATCGCATTACATCAAAGTCAGGTTTTACTCTGACTGGACTGCTGAAGATATAAAAGTAAAACCATAGTGTTGCACCGAACTGACAGGCACATGACGACGATTTCTCAGCCTGTTAACACACTTGACTTTGGTTCTGCACCCACATCTTTAATTCATCTCTCCTCTGTGAACAAGAGCTACTCTTCCTCCTGACTGAACGCTGCTGTTTTGGTCTTGAGGAGCGTATTCCATGTGGAAAATTAAAATGATTAACTTGCTGAGTTCGTACGCACTGTGTTGCATTGATGCATGAAGCATTTAATCAATGGCATGTCATGGAAGTTCTTATATTCGGGGCACGTCAGGAGGTTTTCCACATGAATCACTAGTGGCAACATTCATTTTCTTGAGGTTTATTTCTTCCTGTTAACAACGAACTGTAATATGATAATGCCACCGCGATCCTTTCTTGCCTTACCTGATTAAAAACGGCTGAGTCAGCTGTTCACGAAGCAAAGCTGCAGGATGATGGTGCAACTTGTGCTTCAGCTCTGTTGGTCTGTTGGCTCAAAGTAACTGATGTGTAGAGCTGAAATAATGAGTCTACACACAGGAACCAAAGGTTTAATATAATAACAGTGTTTCTTGTTGTATTTTTCTTTTAGCCGTTTGAAGGAAGCTGTGAACCTGAATATTTCAAGGTTTCTAATCTGCCGTTGTAGATCTCTGTGGAATGGTCTTTGTCTCGCTCGTTCAGTCTCTTCCTCCATTTCTCCATCCTGTGTCAGTGGACCATTAAAACCGATCTCGCTCTGTGAGAAACACTGGGAGCAATTTGAAAACACACCTTGGGCTTTTGTTATGGGCACAGCTCATGTTTCTGTGATGTTTACAGACCAAACACTTTCTTGATGACTCTATTTTTACATGGTTGTTCCGTGTCTTTACTGATTAGCTGTGCCGCTCACGCCGCTCCCCCTCTTGGCACATTTTCAGTAACAGTGAGTGCATTGTCTCTGTGGATGTCAGGTGTAACAGTCTCGTCATTGTTTCACCTGCAGCAGGGAAAGGCACCGTTGGCAAATCTAAAGAGGAGCTGACTCTGGAGAAGAGGAGGGAGCTGGAGAAGAGGCTGCAAGATGTCAGCGGACAACTCAACTCTGTCAAGAAACCCACGAAAGCTAAAGGTGAGCTCATCTTCATTGTCTGCATGTGTCCTCAGAACCTTTGATGCTATTTATAGGTGCATCTTCTCCATTATTGTCCGACTGTCATTAGATATTTTACATGGTGCATCAATAGTCCTTTATATCTGTACCTGGTGCAGCTGTAGAAATCAGATTCACTCACTCTAACCTCCTCCTCCTCCTCCTCCTCTCCTCAGCGGAGAAGCCCAGTGCTGTCGAGACCAACACGCAGCCCTCGCGCCTCAGTGGCAGCAGCTCCAGCTCGGACTCCTCTTCCTCTTCCTCCTCATCGTCGTCCTCAGACACCAGCGATTCAGACTCTGGCTGAGATCCTTAGCAGCGGCTAAGAGTGAGGAAAAAAAATAAAAAAATAAAACACTAATAACTCAGGGACTTGGGCTGGCCCAGGACACAACACACCCTGAGAGTGAAGTGGGCTGAGATATTAAACACCATGGCAAAAAAAACAAAAAAAAACACAAGTCAAATGTTTTGAATGTGGGACTGAGGGATGTGAAACAATGTCTCTGTGGATCAATATAGAACCCAAACACTAAATGCCTTGGTTCCCCTCTCCTCCCCTTTGTAAATACTTGTACAAATTTATGTTTCTTTTATAAAGAAGAATTTTATGGTGATCCCCCAAAGAGGGAAGCGGAGTAACGAAAAAAGGATGTGGAAAGACGGGCCACGCTCCAAAATCTGCTTTGGTCGGCCTCTGCGCTGTGTCCTCTGGTGGCGAGGGAGTGGAAGAGTATTTATTTATTTGTTTTCTTCACCCACATTTCCTCAGATGTTACTGGAATTTGAACCAGCAACTTTTTTGGTCACGAGCCTTGCTTTTCTAACATCTTGGCCTTCTGCCGCACTTAATCTTTAGACCAACCCCCTTAGACTCAGCCTTAATGATCCAGATTGTGAATAACTGTTTGATTATTAGGAAAAATAACTTATTGTTCAGGAGGTTTCTCCTCATGTTCGCAGGTCTGTTGAGTAGTAAATTAAACTCATGTTTTCTGCCATATTCCGGTCAAAAATTTAAACTTGGTTACATCTCGAGTTGTGTTTACAGCCATAATTCTCCTTAGTTAGACGTTGAACTTCATGCAGCAGTTTTTCTTTTGCAGCTTGTAGTTCTTGCTCTTGTTTGAAGACAAGGTGGATTTATAATACAGTATAGATATATGGTAAAATACTGTAATTTCAAAGTTTGCAATTAAGTTACGTATTTATTTTGTCTCGATTTACGTGGCGTCACTCTCAAAGCCCAACAAACGTTTTCCGACTTGCGTGACCCTGATTGAATTACTGTCAGTCTTCAGTATTTTGAAATCAGTTCAGCTTTGGTATCGCTCTCAACACAGGCTGCTGAATGTCATCAGGTCACAGAGCAGGTTTCTGATTCCCACACGAGTGAAGGATGGAAGACGTCTGTGGCACTCGGGTCGAAGGTTTCTCAAAACCCATCGTTTGGCCGCTCGGCACTTACTGGAACGAATGGAACCGACTGAAGTAACTGAAGATGAATCCCGCCACAGGTTTCCTGTGAAGAGACGGGACAGTCCTCGTAGTCCATGCATAGTTAAAGCTGTTGTTGAATGTTCAGCGAAAGAAGTCATGCTTGTATATATTTAAACTGTATTTGCTATTGCACAAACTATTGTATTTCTGCTGTTTATTTTTGAGTTATCTTTTTTAACATGCTGTTATTTCTCATTCCTGTCTTGGTTGTTTCCTGATGAGCGTGCACATGCCTCTCAGAATCATACCTTTCATTTGACAACTGTGTTTATTAAAATATTCACTTCTGTAGAAGAGTTTGAATTTTGTCTGACAGTTTCATTGTATTGACCGACTTTAGTTTTTACATTCATAACAGCAAAACTGTTTGTCTCCTTGTTAGCTCGGGATTTCATTTGACCTTTTTCTAGTTGAGGCTGTATTTTTGAAACTTGGTGTGTAGATTATTGACTCAGTTTTGATGGTTAGTATAGAGCTGGGATTATTGGAGGATTCATTGATTAGTGCAACGGCAGAAAGTTAAGAAAAGAAAAAAAGGCGATGGGTGTTTTTGTCTTGTTAGATGTTGATGTGATTCTTTGTCACACAGCCACTAGAAAGACAGTGAAGTGAATATCTTGGTTTCCTGTTTCTCCCGCGGTCTAAAGGAAATTATAAATTGTATGTTTACCTCTGTGACAAACAAACCGAGGTGAAAACATAACCTTTCACCTCGGTTTATTTGACAGAATCACACAAAAACTTGTTAAACCAGTTAAATTTCCACAAAACTTGGAGCAAGGATGGAACATGGGCCGAGAAAGAACCTGTACAATTTGGGATCTGGACAAAGGTCGGGAAATATATTTCTAATGTCTGTAACGTTGCAAGATATTTTGTAAAGACAATTTTTCAAATTAACATCCTAGGGAATAATGCATGAATATTGATTTTTATTCTTTTTAAATGTGTTATATTTAGTAGACAGTGTGCGCAATCTTCTGCAGCTTGATTTTATTTACTGGGCCTGTTGTTGGGTATTGACGGAGGTATGTGCTCCACTGAGTACCATTCTGGTTATATATATTTTCTGGCATGTTATAAACAGAATAATGATTGAAAATAGATTTAAAGAAAATTCACCATTTATTCATAAGTTCTACAAATTATTCGTTTCTATTTGAATTCTCAAATCAGTGACAAATTAAAAAACATAATTGTGGATTAGCACACAAATCATAACCGCTCTTGTTCAGTAGTTCTTTTCTTCACTTGCTATAAAACAGTGTGAACAGTAAATATAATATAATAACAGTTCATAAACAACTAAATAACTGTAAACTTGAAATTTTCAGTAAAAAGACAACCAACCACCTGAGTCAGGGACCGGCCCTGCTGTAATTATCATGTCTGTTCTATAGGTGGCAGCAGTCAGTCATGGTAAACTCACATGTTCCTCTCCAGTGGTTTCGAGGTTGTTGTCATTGAGTCACAGGCCTTGGTTGGCGTGTGTTGTAAGGAAGTACCATCAGAATGTGAAATGTCTGGGAGGAAGGAGATGCCCGCTCAGTCGGATGTCCCTGCAGCATGGAGAGGAACCTGCTCCTGGCGCTGCTGATTTGTTTTCCAAAAGCCAGTCAAGGTAGGTTTTGGCAGAAATACGTGAATCGTGATCGTCAGGAGTTTTGTATTCAGATGAAAATGAAGATTACAAAGGCCTGGATGAAAACGTCTTACTTCTAAATTCATACTGTTTGGTTTCTTTATATTTAAAAGGATTTTAAGGACTTGACCTTCTCTGTAAAGAGCCTTGAGATAATGTTGAATTGAAAGTAGAGTGTGGTTGAAGTATTTTATGGATATATCACTGTATATCACTTCCATTTCACTGTTTAGTCAGATACTTTTAATGGCTGGTGAAGCACCACAGCCAAACTTTCAGCAGTAGTTGGTGTCCGGTGTCTGAGGCCTTTGTTCAGCTCCAGACACCACATCTGCTCTCTGGAGTCTTTCAAACAAGCTGACGGCAGCAATCCGTCACACGTGATGTCTTTGCCCTGCAGGTAAACACCTGCTTCGCTTTTTGACCTTCTGCGACAGAGACGTGGAGGGAAACGGTCAGTACGATATTGAATATGACGGCGATCAGCTCCTCTACGTCGACCCCTTCACCTATACGGCAGTTCAACGCCTCCCGGAGTTTGCAGAGCAGTGGACCCCGGATCCTGGACTGGACAAAGACGCATACGTATCCCTGGGTACCTGCAGGTACAACATCCCCCGTGCCGCTAAGGGAGAGAATTATCCCCCAGAGGTCAGAGGTGAGAGGAGCGTTTCTCCTTAATGGACTCTGTTTAGTTTCTACTGATAATAAAGAATTTGTGATTTTCAGAGCTACAGGATCTTGGCTTTTAAAACTACGTTTAACTTAAACAGTGGAAAAACGATCACACTGATCTTTTTATTTAAGTTGAAATAACAATACAACAATAAATTAAATACTCCACAAGTCCCTCTAAAGTAAAAGTATTTGAGTTATAAGTGATATATGACATTTTAAGATTGTTAATACCAGTGAATCAACGCATAAGCAGCATCGGATTGTTTTTGCTGCTCAAGGTGAAGCGAGCTTTCCTCAAACTGTGCTCGGCTCCTTCCAAGGGTAAGAAGATAAATCTGAGCGGTTGTGAAACTCTAACTTCAAGATTAATGGGAGGCCAAAGAAAAATAGAATACATTTCTGCTCAACAGATTTATATTCATACTTTTTATTCCTGTTTATTGGACTAATCTCACTTTAGCTCCGAAGAAAATTCCTCTACTTTGACTTTTCTAGGCCTCAAACAGCAGATTCAATGAAACCAAGTACAAGTGAAGACATCTGAGTGAGACGAGCTGTCCCACCTCCTTCGTCCTTTCACACGTCACAAGCTCTCATTTTGAATTCCTCCCAAAGATTTAATGTTTTCATCGGCTCTTGTTTGTTTGTGGATTACTGGTTAACCGACGACTGTGTTTGTTTGTTTGTTTGTTTGTAAGTGAGATCACGAAAAGGTCAACGGACAGATTTCCGCAAACCGAGATAAAAGGCTGTGATGTGGAAAGAACTGATAACATTTTTGTGTAGATCCAGATCAGGGGACAGATCCAGGGCCTGGGCGGAGTTATGAGTTCTGCTGCGTAAAAAATACTCTATTCTGAAAGTGTGAATACCCGGGACGTGAGTAAATGCACTCAGGTACTTTCAGACGATCCCTGTCTGAGTATGTGATGATGCAGATACTTAATATATGACTTCGTCTCTCCATTCTACTCCCAGGAACAAAGCAAAGTACTGATAAGATGTAATGTGAGTATTAAGTTAATGAGAGGAGTGTTCTTAAGAGATGAACAGGTACAAGCAGAGAAAATCCATGTGAGCTGTAATTAACCTCTGTGTTATAATCACGCTCGTGTTGCAGGTTAAAGCGTCTCTCACTGTTTATTGTGTTTAATTAGCACGAGCTCCGTGATGCTGGGACGCATGTGTGTCTGTGAATCTTCCTCTGGCTGCGAATTAAAATAAAAATATGAAAATCTTCCTAAGTGGAGGAAGCATGTGGACGCCTCTTGTCTCCTTTGTCTGTGGAGAAGCAGCATGTCTGGGCTGAATTGGGAATCAATCACATAAACTCGTCCACATATTTGTCCCCATGTCGTGTAACTGTCTGTGTCCGTCAACCGGTTCATCCACAGTCACTCCTTCCTCCCTGATGTTCCCGAAGCAGCACACAGAGCTGGGAGTCCCCAACACCCTCATCTGCTTCGTCAATGACCTCCACCCGCCTGTGGTGGAAATCACCTGGACCAGGAACGGGCAGCCGGTGGACGAGGGTGAGGTCAGCCAGACTCAGTACTACTCCAACAGCGACTTCAGCTTCCGCATCTCCTCCTACCTGGACTTCACCCCGCAGGAGGGCGACATCTACTCCTGCAGCGTGGACCACATCAGCCTGCAGGCGCCGCTCACCAGGTTCTGGGGTGGGTCTGTAGAAATTCTGTGGAAATCCATCCTGCAGCTAACTAACAGACCAACGAAGGAAACCTCATCCAGAGAAATAAAACTTTGCTTTGGACCTAAGTGGTTTGAGAGATTGAGGGAAGAGCAGATTTATTTCTTTTATTTTCATGTTATTGCAGAAATTTAAAGCTTAATGGCAAAAAAAAAAAAAAAAAAGAATATCTAACGACAGCTGCGTGAAAAACTGAAAGCATTTGGAGGTGAATAAAAGAGTCGAGGACCTGCTGCATCCTCCGTGCCTCAGCTCCGCAGCCCCCAACGCTGGCCTGGGTGTCAATATGATGATATTTCCACACGGCGTCTTCGTGTTTGTTCGCGGTTCACGCACTTGGGGACGGAAGTAATGATAAAAAGAGAGAGAACAAAAGAAACAAACAGAGAGAGGAAGAGATGGAGGCTGAGAAATAGAGAACAGGCTCCTGGCTCATTGCGTTTATTTTCATAAACATGAAGAGAATGATGCACTTTGCTCCACACAAACAAACAAACACACAAACACACTCATACAGACACACAAAAGGATGCACAGAGAAAGACGTCGGCATAGAACAGAGAAGTTACGTGAACTTCCAAGTATTTATCATAGATTGTAAATAAAGATGGACGACGTGACAGCTCCTCAAAAGTTGAGCCAAAGGGTCTCTATCGCCCCCTGTTGGCTGGATGCAGTAAAGGTCATAAACCCTGACTCCTCCATGTTAGCAGAGGGGACATGGGCCAAACGTAAAAATACTTCATTTCTTGACAGTGCAAGGAAATGGAGATGCATCGTCCATCTTTATATCCAGTCTTTAACTGTGTTTCAAGCAATTAGCACTTTAAGAAAGTCTCATGCTTTTGAAACTCACATGTTATCTTGTGTGTGTGTGTGTTGTGTGTGTTTGTGTGTGTGTTTGTGTGTGTGTTTCCTCCAGAGCTTGCAGAGAACACAGACCACCAGGCTGCCGAGACATCAGTGTGTGTTTGTGGTGTGATCCTGGGTCTGATTGGAGTTGTCACAGGACTGTGGCTCATCGTGAAATCCAACAAGTCTCACCGGCCGTAACACACGTCAAGACCAACACCTGAAGCCTTTGACGCCAGATGTGTGATTGTGTTTTTCTCTCGTTTCCTTCTCTTTTTCTTTTGGGAGAGAGACTCTGGTTTTTTTTATCTCAACAATGTTTATACGGTTTCCACATATTTTTCTACTTCTGCAACAACACGGAATTTAAACCCGCGGTAAATCCCGATCTGGATCCACACCAAAATATAATGGATTGTTCTTTGGGTTCTCTTGGCAGAAAAATGTCTCTTTTGTGTAATCCTGCAAAAAAACAAACTAATTAAAATGAACACATTTCAAGGGAAAAGAAAAACACAACCTTCTGTGGATCATAGCTTCGTGCTTCACTCAGGTTTGGTGATGTTGTAGCTCAGTAACGTGTTCGTGGCTCGTGATGAGCACGTCAAGCAAATGAAGGAAACCTGAAACGATCTGTTTGTGCTTCTGCTCGTCAACCGAAGACATTAAAACAAAAGAGAACAAATCCACTGCATTCGTCCCTGTTTGTTTATTAACTCTTAGATGTGACAGCCTGTGTGGCACGATCACAGAGTCACCATCTATTACCTCAGCACTGACTGAAGATGCTGTTGCTCCTGCAGCGACCGCCTGACACCAACGATCTGAAAATACCGTTCGCCATTTCTGCCTGCTTGTGTTTTAATACTGTCATCGAATGCAGATGCTTCAAACTGCCTCCGTTGGATTTGTTCAACTCGGGCCTGGATCTAATTATTTTCATAGTGATGGATGTTCCGCTGCCACGTTTTAATATGTAAGCGCGTTGAGCTTCTGATGGACGCAGCTTAGATCTCGAACGCTGAAAATCCCAAATACAGCAGCTGTGATTTTGCTGTACATGTACACGCTGCAGCTGAGCTCAAATGACAGAGTCACGAGATCAAATCCTGAATGAGGAATTAGTTTTGAGAAGTGGCAGTGATTTTATTGCCACAGTAACCGGCATTCCATTGTTTGTGTTTCCCCACAGCACTTTTAAAACATGTAAACAAAAGAGTTTTGATAAAACCTGAAAGACCAGTTCCTCTCATGCATAAACACGAACGTCATATTTGCACGATGCAGTTTAGTTTTCAGGCGTTGGAGGTTTGAGCTCGATCGAGTCTGTGTTCTTTTGCGTGAGAAGTTTTTAATGTAGTTTTCAGTGTTTAAAAGATGAAGGGACTTAATTTCCTGCACAGTCTCACTGTCTCTGCTGTTCTGCTCTGCACTTCACCAACAGGTACGTTTCTTCTCCTTGTGTTCAGTCTATTTTAACCTTTATTTACTATAGTCAATGCTGAGGTTTTCTTATTACTTTATTTTATTTGTATTCTCTCCTGAAGTGTAACTTGCTGTTGCAGGTGGCTACGTGTTTCAGGGGATATACGACTGCGAGTATGGAGACAACATCACCGACGTGGTTTTCTTGGTGAAAAACATATTCAACATGAAGCTCAACAACATGTATGACTCTCGGGTCGGGAAGTATGTGGGCTTTGGATCGTATGGCATCAAAAACACAGAACACTACAACACCCAGGCTTGGAAAATGGCCTTGAGAAGAGCTCAGGTGGATATTCTTTGCAGATACAATGCGAGACTGTTCAGACAGAGCACGCTGGACAGAAAAGGTACATTTCTGTGTTTTCTACTGGAGCAGGTTATTGTTTGTCTCACAGTTTCATTTCCTTGGTTTCATTTGCTTCATTGAAAAACAAAAGGAATCAAAGTCTCTCTCCCTGTGCTTTGATTTCATGGCTTAAATAAAACGGTCTTCTACGTCCAGCCGGTCGTTTAGCTGCTGATCTTTTGCTCTGGTCTTCTCCACACTCCAGTGCCGCCGGTTGTCAGGGTCCATCTCGACAAGCCGGCTGACTACGGGGTGCGGACTATGCTCCGCTGCAGCGTTCTGGGGTTTTATCCTCAAGAAGTGAGGGTGAGCTGGCTGAGGGACGGGGCGGAGGTCTCCAGCGACGTGTCGTCCACTGACGTCCTGGCCAACGAGGACTGGACCTTCCAGGTTCACTCTTACCTGGAGCTGACGCCCAAGAGAGGGGAGAGGGTGAGCTGCAGGGTGGAGCACAGCAGTCTGCCAGAGAGCCTGGAGCTGGACTGGGGTCAGTAAACATATTCAAGTCTTCAGCGTGTGTCAGCTGCAGTTCAGGAGGATGAGGATGGATGAACTGGAGATGATGCAGGATATTTAAAGTGTTGGAACGGTGGCTGACATTAAGATTCCATGTCTGCTCCAGGTTGGATCATGTTAAGCTGAGCCCAGTGGACGTACCCATGGAGTCGCTCTCGGTTTAGCCTCAGGCATATCGTGTGTGTCCCCCCCCCCCGGCTGCATTTTATGGTAAACGTTGAATTCCAGTTCTCGGGTGGTGGCGAAGAGAAGTGGTTAGGAAGTGACAGAGGCTCGGTTCAAGTTGAGGTTGAACATATCGACGGGGAAACAGAATCTACCCCCGAGCGTTTGGAATCTGATGCCAGATCTCACCGCGTCCAGCAGTCGTCCCTGGTGTATCCCTGTGTTTCCACATCACCTGATCTCCACACACACCTGCTCACCTGCTTCTCATTCCCTCACGAGTCTTTACACCAGCCGTCCAGCACCGACTCCTCGCCAGCTCGTCTATTGTGTCCCCGTAGCCTCAGTGTTCCAGCTGCCGCTCTCGTACACACACTTTCCCTATTCACGTCTGCAGCCTGGGTTTTGTGTCCCTGCTCCCATTTTGGATTTCTTTGCCTTTGTTTTCCCGCAAAAGAATCGAGCTCAATTGACCCTCTCCTGCTTTTCAGTCCAAACAAACCAGAGCCGCTACGTTCCTCGGTCACAAGTGGCGGCAGAATCAACAGCGGCGACGAACAATGGTTCTGTCCGTCAGCCGCTGTTGACGCGTGAGGTTTGCGAATCCGAGGAGCTGTGACAGGAGGAGAAAGAAGACGCTCGACGTCTGAAGAGGAGAGTGTGATGGAGAGAATCTGAAGGTGTCTGCTGGGGCCCCCCGAGCTGAGAGGGGCCCCCGAGAACGACTGATTACATTAAGGCTCGTTTATGCTGAGTCCAGAGTTTCTGATAAAGCGTTGTGAGGTTGTGATAATGTTCCTCTTAAGACGGTTCTTCTGTTCTGGAAGTTACTCCAGAACCTTCCCAGAATTAAATGCATGTAGAAGCTGTAATCGTCTATAACATGTGATCTCTCATCGTATCTGTGAGCAGGTACAGATTTCACTGTCGGTGTTTCTCTCTCTCTCTTACAGACTCGTTTGCTCTGGATGCTAAATATGCGAAGATGACAGTGGGGATCGTCTTCTTCTTCGTGGGCTTCAGTGCAGCTGCAGGTGGAGCAGTTTACTTCTGGTGGAGACGGAGGTTTGTGAAAGAAACCAGACTGTGAACAAACGGCGTGAGTGAAGTTGTTGTCAATGAAACTTTCTTCTTCTCGTTTCAGGTTTGACTTCAGTCGAGTTGACAGTCAAGGATCTTCATCAACGTGATGATGAAATAAAAACTCTATCAGTCAGAGTTAGAATTGATTTTAAGATTTTACTGATCCCCTTCACATCATTGATCCAGGTCCAACCATGTGAAGCGCTAACTCATTCTCAAACTTCACCTTCTTATTATCAGTAACACAATAAAACGAACCAGCTTCACTTTCTCAGCAGAAAACTCTTAACCATGTTAAAAACCACTTCGTCCTTCAGTTTTCTGTGTTTGACTCGTACGTCAGGAGATAAACGGCCCCGTGAGAAGGTGACATGCTGTTACATCATGTGCTTTTATAATCAGACAAAAAAAAAAGAATCCTTCTCTTAAAACTCAACATTCTGGCTGATGACATGTTGTATATATTAAAAAAGCGCACAACCCACACCAGCTTAACCTGCCGCCACTGCGGCAAACGCAAAAATAAACCACAGGTTTGAATAGTTCTGTGCGTTTTATTTACTCACACAGCTGCTAAATAAGATAAAGTAAAAGTTTTCCCACAGAGAAGACGTTTTTCTACATTTTCACCATTTTCCCAGGCGATAATTCCTGGATCTAGAAATGGGCATCTCAAGGGAACTGATATCTGTGTGTGTGTGTGTGTGAAAGTTCTAGGCTGTTGGGCCTCGGTGCAGATAAGTGCTCACTGAGTGATGTTCCAGTGTTGCTGTTGGACAATAACGATCCCTGAAACGTTGATTTCCAGTGACCCATTGATTCTCAGCTCTCTGGACATGCACACATGTTGAATTCACATCAGATCCACTTCACCAAAAACTTTAGAGAAATAAGCATCATGTGGAATCTGGCGTCAGACAAACCTTCTCGTTCTCCGACAGCAGCTGGTGATTCCCACGCCGCTCTGCGTCTCTGTAAATGATTCACGGGTGGTCTGTTCCGTGACCAACACGTGAACTATATAAGAGCTTTTCGAGGCTGAACCCCCTCCGGTACTCGTTAGCTGGCATTTCACGGCGAAACACCCACTCACTGCTGTCGACATGGCGAGTCTGCTCACCGCCGTGGCCATGCTGGCCGCGCTGTCCGTGGGGTTGTGTGAGGAGAAGAACTTTCTGCAGAGGGCCGGCGTGGCCTTCAACGACAGAGAGTTCAAATCTCTGCTCACTGTGACGAACGGAGAGCAGTTCGGAAACTGGACGTGGCCCGAGATGTGTCCCGACAAGTTCTTTGCTGTTGGCTTCAGTATCAGGGTAAAGACACCGATTTCTTACATTTATCACAATTATTTTTTTTGAGGCAAATAAAATATCTTTCCTCGCTAAGTTCAGTGGCTGAAAAACTGAAGGCCTGTATCACACGGACATTCCGCTTGTCCATAATTCCTGTTTCGACATTTTGAATGACTTTTACAAATATTTATTTATTTGACAAAATCTGACCTTTTTGAAGTTTTGATCGTGTTCATGAACATTTGTGTTTTTCATAATTTTCAGCCTTGAGCCAGTCGTGACTTTTGTGTTTTTCTCAGCCTGAAGAAAAATCTGAGTTTTCCTCACGTTGTTTCAATAAAAGTGGTTTCATAAGGGGACTGTTAAAAAATGCCAAATCTCAAATTCCTGGATCTGAAAACTTTACCCTGGTGATACAAAACTTCAAAATGAATTCCCCTCACAATCAGCAGTTGGTCAAATACTCTTCACCTCAAGTTTTTTTTAACTTTCAATCATTTCACATGATTTTTCATCACCACCGTGATTTACCGACTATTTTACCTTTTTCAAACTTAATATTTCCTGTTTTATTTTGACATTTCTCCCCTGGTGAGGCTGGTTGTTTCACTTCCTGGGACGTACAGTTTGGTGAAAGGACGTTTGGCAAGAAGAACATTTTAAAATTCTTGAAGTCACATTAAATAGTGGAATTGTTTCTTCCTCTCAAACTGGCTGTGAAGAGACACTTTACTTTCTATGATCCCAACATATGATGGCACAGAAATCAGTGTGAGATCAGCAAAAAGCTAAATAAATGAAATAAGGTAAAACTGTTTTATTGTCCTCCAGCTCAGACGAACATTCAAACTGGGAAACAAAGCGACAGAAATAAACTCGGTTGATCTGATAAACGCAGACTGACAGAATTTACTTCTTGTTTTATCAGATACTAATCTTACGTCACATTTGCTTGTTGCCGACGCACAAATGACACGAAGACAAACTGGTTTAATCAGATCTGCTGCTGGGAACTGTTCTGTGTTTCCTCAGGTGGAGTCCAACCAGTACGCCTCAGACGACACGGCCATGAACGGCGTCCGCCTCATCTGCGGGAAAGACGGGAGCCGGAGCTTCCTGTACTCTGTGGAGTCTCACACTGGCTAGTGGGTGTTCTGCAGTGATAATCTTTTATAATCAGCTTCTACATGAATATATGAACGAATACAACCAGTCAAAGCACGTACATTTAAGCACGTACATTAATTATCACTTTAATTACTTTAAAATACAACTGTGACAGTGATGACAGCTGGAATTTAGCATCAGGACATTTACTTACCGGGAGAAATTCTTAATTTCTTTGAGAGTCACTGAGATGGTTTTTATCAATGTCTTTAAATATTCATCAGTTTGTTGCAGTGGTCTGATTGTTTGACCGTCTGTCTCAGTGGAACCCACCTGTCTGTCCCGTAAAGGTTAAATAAGAAAACTTTTTTAAAAGGGGTTTTGGAAGCAGCAGGAAGCTGGAGACAGTTTCATCATCATGGAAATAAAATCCTTGTTTCTTCCAGGGTTCATCGAGTTTAGGTTTCAGATGTTGAAATGACTTCCCGTTTCCAAACCAAACCTTGACTCTTATTCACGTTTTATTCACTCTGCTGTATTTCCTGCTCTCGTCTGCAGCTTCGGTGACTGGTCTCACCCTCAGTACTGCCCCAGTGGCGTGCTCAGCTCCTTCCAGCTCCGCGTGGAGCCCCATCGGGGCCTGTTCGGTGACGACACGGCCGTCAACAACATCAAGTTCCGCTGCAGCAGCAACCCCACGCTGGAGGGCACCGGCACGGACTGGGGGGAGTACGGACACTGGAGCGGGGAGTGTGGCGACGGAGGAATCTGCGGCATCGAGACCAAGATGGAGGAATACCAGTACGGCCTGGACGACTCCAGCCTCAACGACGTGCGCTTCCATTGCTGTGCCAGATCCCAGCAGGTAGGATGGAGGGTTGAATAATCAGAATTAAAGCTGAGAGACTCAAACGTAATGTTTTCGTATGTTTGATTTTTTTTTTTACACAAAAATTACTCAATTCATTTCATAATCTCTTGTGGAACTCATTCAGTTTTGGACTCAGGGCTCAGCTCCAGTAGTTCCATTCTCAGAGAATAATCCGTCAATCTTGATGACCAATAATCAGGCACGTGTTGGGAGCTAACGTGTGCAAAGTGGTGAAGATCCAAATTAAAATCTAATAACTTATCTAGTGAATTTAAATTTAAAAAAAAAGCAAAATCTCACAACGTTAAAGAAAGTGAAATAAAGAAATTCCTGGATCTGAAAACTTTACCCTGGTGATATAAAACTTCAAAATGAATTCCCCTCACAATCAGCAGTTGGTCAAATACTTTTCACCTCAAGTTTTATTAACTTTCAATCATTTTCTGACTATTTTACCTTTTTTAAACTTAATATTTCCTGTTTTATTTTGACATTTCTCCCCTTGTGAGGCCGGTTGTTTTCACTTCCTGTCTGTGTCCATTTATAAATTACTACGACTTGTAAACTTTGTGACATTAATCAACTGTAATTGTGTTTATTCATCATAATCCTGAGACACTTTTATTTAAAGTTTCTGAATTTGTGCTTTCTGTTTTTTATCGACAGTGATTGACAGACGAGAAGCTTCCCCTCCCCCGACACCCTGAATTAAAACATGGGAAATAATAAAGTGCACGTTTCACCAGAACTTCAATTACGTTTCATTTCCTTTTTTTTTAAAAAACACAAACACTGAGATCAGAGTTCAACAAATAACTGACGGTCATTCGTGTTTAACTTTCAAGAGAAAGTTTCAAGTGTCGGCTTCAGCAGCAAAACAACAAAAAGACGAAGGAGCCATTTTTACACCATGTCGTCGCCTCCTCACCTCGTCAGCACGAGAGCGCCGTGTTTCCACTTCCTGTCTGATGAACCAATGAGCTCACGGTAAAGTCGCATTAAGCTCGAGACGCTGACACGGGCGTTTCCCAGAATTCCTGCTGGAACTGAGGTAATTAAGAAATGACGAGAGGGGGGTATTAATTAATTCACAGTTTAAGGCCTGACAAAGTTTGATAAGACACTGATTGGCACACACAGAGGTAATTGTGTTAATTAATCGGTGAGCAGTTAATCTGCCAGCGGAGTGTGTGCGGCGGGTCGACGTGATGTTATCAAACTCTGCCTTAATGGTTTTCAGATGATTTTGCAAGTCGAGGCAAAGCCATTAGAGTCTGACACACACAGCCGCAGAGTTTCTCTTCGCTCCGGTAATAAATACACTCAGCTGACCTCTTATCTGGGCTCAGAGTGTTTTTACTGGGGTTTGAAGCTCAAGTGCACTTGTTGGTTCTGCTTGGATTACAGATACGCTCATATCAGCAGGAGGAGGATTTAACGAGGAGGACGGCTGAGTGACGACAGAGAGCACACATTAAAAAATAAAACTCTATCTATATTTGTTTTGGGAAAGAGAATGAATGAATCATTTTCAAACGCACTCATCCGGTTCAAACATGAACTCTTAAGTTATAGATTATATCTAAAAAATATCTTGCAGAAATGTCAGAATCTTTACAAAATGCATACAAAACAATGTACAGGTCATATAAAAGCAAAACTAAATGAAATTAAAAGACAATAAAGTCATTTTTCACCTTTATTTTAATGACAGTGGACAACAAGAGTGAAATGTGGAGACAGAATGGAGGAAGACAAGGCAGCAAAGGGCCATGGTGGAATCAAACCTGTGGTCGCTGTCGGGAAAATATTGTTTCCTTATAATCTTGACCTTGATTTAACAAGTAAAATTGGATTTAACCTGTGTCTGGAGAAATCTAACTATCTACACGTGTTCCTAAACTGTATCTGTAATATTTACAGTCAGGGAGGTCGGATCCACTTCAGACGTACAGATGTGAATTCTGTAAAATATATCTCAGAGTATCAGATCACTTTAATCATAAAGGTTGTGGATCTAGTAAAATAGCATCAACACATTTCCAGCAGCTACATGTGTATTATCATCATTTTTATATTATTATCTGTAGTCAGGTTAACTTTAGTTGTTAACCTGATCTCTGGGACAGTGAGAAGATCTCGGCTCCAGCAGCTCAAGCAGTTCATGTCCACACAAGAATAAAAGATGTGGAACACAACCAGGAGTCTG